AGCTCTTGCTTTGCAATTCATGAGGTGGGGATCTCTGTTAGTGGAGCTGCGCACGCCTGAGCACATGAATGCTGGACTCATAGCACCCCACCATATGCACTCAACGAATCGCATCTCCACACTATTCAACGTTTCTTGACCGATTGCGGACTGTGCGATACTTTCGGTCTACTCATATCCGACACTCGCTCTTGAGCCCACATCGCGGGCGAACCCATATCTGAATCCACGACGCAAACATCGGCGCCGTTTCTGCGGGACTTGTGCGTGACCGTCGACCTGCAGTACCGTTGCCGAAAACAAATGTTCGCGGGGGTGCAGGTGTACTAGTGATGATACGCCTGGCGGAGTAAACAACATTTCGGGTTGGTGTGCAAAGGTACCTGCGTTAGCGGAGCCTGGAGTCGCGCTCCTGAAACTCGTGGCCCTCCGTCCAACTGCCGCAAGCGGACACGAGATGCCGGTCAAAAGTGGAATGGCTTCGCTTCAACGTCGCGTGTGATTAGGAACTGCGTGCGAAATCTGCGCTTGCCCTTATCATGCAGTGATATAGGAGCATTAGGTTAGGAGCGTGGAGTGCGAACCACCACATCAAATATTGAATAACCGTTAGTGTTATTGGTAAGTCATGGCTTGCAGCGACAAACAGAACTTGTCCAGCAGAAAAGGGATAGCGATGCGCGTCCGTCGATAAGATGTCTTGAGTAATCGTGCTTTGGCGACTTGGTTCAGGAACAGACGGCAATGGACGAGTCTGGCAAGTTTAGCCGTTGCGATCGCATCGAATAACCGATGAACCCCCTTTTGCTGTGCAGCATCAAATACCCACGCATAATTCCTACCTCGAAAACTTAAATTGATCCAGTATTCAAGCAGACCTCCTGTGCCACTGTCGCAAGCTTGAGGTTGCTCACTTCTGGCAGGAATGACGAGTCAAGTCAGTGCTCCTCTAAGCACGAGGTAGCGTTGGCAGAACAGCCGAAGCAGGGTCGTTTCCGTGTTTAGGGCGTTGATCTGCCATAACCGTGTATCAGATACTCGGAGGCTGGGTATCAGACTGTCGGCAGTTTCAGGTCCATTTGTCACTTGCAGAAGGGTCCACGAGGACGACGTTGCCAGCGCGTGGCGGGGTGATCAAACTACCCGTGAGTAGTTCTCGCAGGCTCGAGCCTGAGCTGATCTGAAGATCAGTAAATGCTTGGAGATCTCAACGCTAGACAGACACGGAAAGTGTACCTTGGTTGTGTAACCCGAAGATATCCCGCACGCTGTGAAGAGCTGGATTCTGCCTTTGCATTACGCTCTTCTGGAACGCTTCTACGTGCTTGACTACTGAGCCCCACTCCGGTCATCGTCATTGCGCAATAGTGTGAGCTGAGTTCATGGCGTGGAGGCAGGACGATTAGAGTTTCTCAGCGGATAATGTGGGCTACTAACGAAGCGAAGCCACTGGCTGTCCTAGTGTCCTGATGCACGACGCATGACACATGGCAGACCCAAAGTCAATCCCGGAGACAAGCTACTGCAGCCATTGAGAAGGGCGGCCCGTAGCATCGAGAGAAGTGGTGTGCGTTTTAATCAGGGATTGCCGGATCTCACGAGTACTCGAAAATCCAGATGCCTGTTAAACTGAGCTTAGGGGCGCTGACTCCAGGAAGACACCTGTATCATATGCAGACTATAGATGTAGCCAAGAGGTCGTGACCCCGGAGATTAGCAGAGGGTCTGCAACCCCGCTGGAATCGATAGTCGTTGCTTCCATTTACGGACTGTGCAACTTCGCGATAGCGAATCCTCAACCATTCACGTGGTGGTGCCTGAGTCAATGGCTCACTCCTTTGCTCGGTAAGACCCGGGCGATCAGTAGATCCCGTTCTTGCGACAACTGCGGCTATCGCGACATCTAGACTGAACAACTGACAGTGGCTAGGTTACATGACGAATGTAGAAGTCGGCCGAGGGAGAGTCCAAATGAAGAGGCAAAGAAGAGTTATTTGCGCACCTAGCCATGCAGCAGGGAAGTCCAAGTGCGGAACTTGGAAGAAGTCCCGCGGACCAGTCTGAGACTGACGATGCGTGGAGAAGCGGCTGAACAGCTGAACCAAGCATCCGCAGTGTTTGAACGCATGATGCTCCTGGTAGGCGCGGGATGTCCTCGGCGATGTCGAATGATCGTGGCAAGAGCGCAAGCGTGTCCAGCCACTGGAGTGGATGAGCGGTCGAAGACACGCTTGAGCAGCCTTGAGACGTGGAAGCTCAGCCGAGCTGGGCCGTCTACTGCTCATACTTTCTAAGCTGTTTCAACTGCTGCTAACGGTATTCCAGTTCTTCTAGAACGCAGCCAAGGTGTCAACTCAATGTTGAGCAGCTGTTCGCACCACGAGTGTCAGTCCCCGTAGTCGCTGCTGGTGGCGTTGTCTAGGATGCGTCAGGTCGTTCGATGTGAAAAGTTTGAGACCCTGGAGATGCGTCTATCGATATCACTAGGATATTGCCCGCAGTATCGCCGCGAAGTGACTAGGCGTTTCCTCTGGCGAGGCTACGAACACGCTGTACAGCCCGCTGCTTTGGATCGACGTGTAGGGGTGGCAAGTCTCAAGTATATGAACGTACTGCATGCAAGTGAGTTTTCCTAGCGTCTGCATAGACGTTGTTGACCGGATGAGGGTACAGTTTCTTCATTAGCAACGATAATGTGTGTGGCAAAAATAGATCTGCGCTGATAGCTTGCAAGCGATCTTTTGTGGCGGAAATCATTGCCTCGTCTTTCTTTGATCAGATTGCAATGTAGTCGTCTCATCAGGTAGAAGATGTGAAGAGAGGAAGTGAAGACAGTGTTTGTAAGACGGCTTCTGCTTTTGTCACTAGTGGCTCTTGGCAAACTCCAACGGCAGCTGCGAGCTTCAAGCTCACCCTCAGCGCGACCGCAAACACGCGAATGCATCAGCGTCGATGATTTCTTCACTCACGGCGAGGGCCTACACACCTTGTCGCACCATTGCAGCTCTCTCAAACGCTTCTCTCAGCCTAAGAACGCTTTCATGGCGTGCACAGCATCCACAAGCTCTGTGCTCGGCCTCCTCACGTGCTTCTTGTACCTGGAGTCGCGATGACGTCAACATAAGCCGACGTCCTTTAGTATACACGCCCTGGAAGCATTGTGGAATTCGGCCTGCTAGTCTATTCAGTACTTCGACTACACGAAGACTGAAGCTTGAAGATGAAGCAACTGGTTCTCCTGCTCCTAGAAGCGGTACAGAGGTAGGCGCAAATTTTCATACCAACAGCACAGATCCGCTCATATCTGGGGACATGAACCTGTACATCAAGCCTGATTTATGCTCCCTGCATGTGTCAACTTCCTTTGTAATACTCGAGCTCTGAGAGAGTATCCCGTTCAGAAGCTTCCGGTTTTCTTGCCCTAGTTTTCCTGTTTTTACATGGTCACTGGAAAGACTTCCAGAAATTCCACACCCAACATGGAATCTTGTGTCGTCAACTGTTATAGCTAACCATCTTCCTGCAGCCTTCACCCGCCTCCACCTCCGCCAAATTAGCCACAACCCTCAAATCCACCCTCAAACTCGACAAACCGCGTCACGAGCAAATCTACAACCTCCCCAACATCCTCACATTTTCGCGACTCATAGCTACCCCTGTAGTCGGATACCTAATTATCCACGACCAACATCTCTACGCCTTCTCTCTCTTCGCCTATGCCGCCTTTTCCGACCTACTCGATGGCTGGATCGCGCGCCGCTGGAACCTCCAAACCGTGGTCGGCAGCGTCGTCGACCCCATGGCCGACAAGCTCCTAATGACAACATTGGTAACATGCCTGGCAGTCAACGGGAGTCTTCCGATGCCACTCGCCGCACTGATCCTAGGAAGGGATGTCAGTCTGGCAGTGAGTGCGTTTTACTACCGATACGCCAGTCTACCCGCACCCAAGACCATGGCCAGATACTGGGACTTCAGCTTGCCAAGCGCGGAGGTACATCCCACCACCATATCCAAGTTCAACACCTTTCTGCAGCTGAGCTTGTTGGGAACGCTACTTTGCACAAACTTGCTACATGATCCTTCAGCCACGTCATCCGCAGCTGGTGGCTTGCTCCTGTCGATCCAAGATCTACTAGGAGGCGAAGAAGGCGTCAAGACGATGATCCAGGGTATGTCAGCCATCGTCGCCAGCACGACGATGTACAGCGGTCTCGAGTACACCTGGTCCAAGAAAGCAGTTGTCATCTTGGGTGGCGATGAAGCCTTGAAGAGGAAACAAGGTTTCCGCGGCAGGATGATCATGGCGGGTGGCTTTGGTTCTTTCATTGCGCTTGCGGCGTACTTGTGGTTCAACGGTCAGGCTGAGGAGGACTTGAAGAAGGAGGCCAACAAAAAGCTGGGTACCAGAAATGCATGAGCGGTGTTAGTACGTCATTCTTGATTTATAAGCGATAGTATCCATCAGGTATTCGACAGCGGATCCGATGTATCGAGAATAAAACGGTGTGAATCTACTCGCACATTCCTCTGCTCTGGAATGTGTGACCACATGCAGTACTTCATTCCTTCGTGTCGGTGCCGCTCTTTGTTTCGTAAAAGCTAGTCGCTCCACATGTCAGCCACCACCATATATCGAATTTCCTAATTTGTTCATGAATGTCCTTGATGATGCTTACACATTTGTCTTCCAGTAACTTCTTGATCTCTTGATGCTAATTGAGCAAACCCGAGTATCCACAAAAGAGCGTACAAATATGAGAAAGAAGAAGCAGAAGGTTTGCAGCTGATAGAGTAGCTTGGTAGAACAAGTAAGGAAGCGAGGGTAGCGGGAGGGCTCAAGATGTAGCGTGTATGCGTAAGACATTGAAAGACGAAGTGAGTCGTATTGTTCGAAGATAGGTGACACATTCTTCGTATATATATGTTTACATATAAGCGCTGCCAAAGACAACCTAAGATACATAGACTACATTACACATCGTTCCCAAACCCCATCCCTACTTCAACGAAGCCTTCCCCTCCCACGTCCCCACTGCCTTACTAAACAGCTCCTTACACGGAACCCTCGAGCCCAATCTCGCACATAGCAAGAACGCGCCCGAAAGTTTCCGATGAAGCGAATACGTTTCTTCCGGCGGTGGCGCTAGCCTCTCTTTGACCATAACGGGGATCAAGCCCCGCACTCTATCTGTAATCGTTTGGTCTCTGAAATCATATTTCTCGGGCCCACTACCGCTGAACGGTTCGGCAAGCGTTAGCACACTCTGGATATGCGCATCGAGCATGGCGGGGCTCTCGTTGCCGGTGAGGTAGCCGAGTTCGATGGAGAGGTCGCGCAGTGAGGAGCGGTCGCCTTTGGAGGCTGCGATGAGGATTTTGATGTAGGGCTCGACGAACTTGTCGGGGTAGTCTCGGGAAGCGCCGAAATCCAGCAACTCGATCTTCTGGGCGGAGGCGTTGTAGAGGAAGTTTGTCCAGTTGGGGTCGGTTTGCATGAACTTGAACTCTACGATCTCGCGGAGGCAGAGACGGAGAATCTGCGTACCGATCCAGTCGCGTTGTTCTTGGGTTAGAGTCTTGAGTTTGGTGACGCCGACACCGTGCATGAGCTCTGCGGTCAGGACAGTGGGGCCACAGGCTTCGGGGAAGACTTTAGGGACGGTGAAGACATCAGTGTCGTCTTGAAGGAGGTTGCGGAACCGAGTTTGGCATTCGGCTTCGCGCGTATAATCGCATTCCCAACCCAGTTCTGTTCGGGCGTTGGCGATGGTCTTGTCTAGGTACAGACCCTTTGGCAGGAGACGTGATGCGGTTAGGAGGATGGAAAGGTTGCTAAGGTCGGAGTCGATGGAGTTGGCAACGCCAGGATATTGGACCTTCACAGCTACTGCCTGGCCATTAGACTTGAGTACTGCTTTGTGTACCTGTCCAATCGATGCCGCCGCAATGGGTACATCTTCGAACGATTCGAAAAGATCGCGCCAGTCGTCCCCAAGGTTGCTGCTCAAGACTTTGTTCCGTTGTGAGGCCGGCATGTAGTCTGCGCTATCCTGCACCCGTTGCAAGACATCATGAATTGCCGGTGGCAACATCTTGATGTCTTGGAAACTGATCATTTGTCCAAGCTTGAGAGCGGCACCTCGCATGCGGGAGAGCTTTGCGACCAGTATTTCCATGTTCCCAGGGCTCAGCATCAGCGAGCCACCAGTTGACGCAGCACTGCCGGTCGCTCGTCGAAGACCCTCACCGACAGCTCCGAGTGCCATGCTTGTGCCTAAACCAGCGTACTGCCATATGCGACCGAACCGTGACGAAGGGACTCTCGACTCTCGCAGCGCGTATGATGACTTCTCTGGCTGAGTCGCTACCTCATTTGGTGACTATTGTGCAACTGTCAGCAAATCAGCAGGCTTCAGGCTAGTAGGTGGATTTGACATACTTCAGAAGCAGCCGCATTTGACTGCACGTCCTGAGCAAGTTGGGATGCCAGGTCTTCCATTTCCTTTGGAGTAGTCGCGGATAGAGGTTGCCGAACCGACTTCGGCTGCGTCGAAGGTGGACTTTGTTGCTGTACCGAGGGCAACGGTCTATCGTCGAGTGGATGCCTGCCGGTGGTCTTTGCTACGGGTCTGTCATCCAACGGATGTCTACCACTGGTCTTCCGCTCTGCATATTCCTTTCTCGAGAAAGGATCGCTTCCTAGCATCCTAGCAACTTTTCTCGAATGGAAGACATCGGTGTTGATACCCTCTGGTAGGTCTTCGTCCACCTGCCCCTGCGCCGGCTTGGGTACATTGTAGAACACATCCTGATTCATTTGCTTATCCGACACGTGTTCGTCGCTTTGCTGTTTTGTTCCAGAATTCCGAGGTATCTGTGATTGAGGTTGCGATGAGGTTGTTGGTTGCGATTCGACCGATCGCGTATAGAAGACGTCTCTGTCATGACCCTTCTGCAGCTTCTCTGCCTGTGGAGATATTGGCGTCTGTTGAGGGTCGTTCGCGTGTGCGGGGATCGTTTCAGCGGTTTGTGTAGAGGCGCCCCTGGGGTTTCCGGGGAGCGGTATTGTGGTCTCTGTAGACTCTACCGGTTTGATGCCCTCGTCCTTGTGACGGACTTGTTCACCCTGGTCCTCCGCCAGAGGTTCCTTCGGCGCCTCATGCACTGGCCTCTCCGAAAACGCATCTTTTCCCTTTTCCTCTTGTTCGAGTGTCAACCCTTGGCTTGGTATGGTGCCGTCTGGTAGCGGGGATCTGGGGGCCTTCTTCTGCTCGACCTCCAATTCTTCTGTGGGCGGAGGTGCCTGAGCGCTATTTTGACCAGATCGATCGTAGTGATGATCCTGCTCTACACCCTCCCTAACATCCTCCACTGGTGTGTCCCTCTTCACAGTGTCTCTCCTAGGTATATCCGCCTGCTGTGTCCATTGTGTGTTCGTCGCCCGCTCGGCTGCGGCTTTTGCGTACGAGGGAGCTTCTTCGCTGAAGCGTTGTGAGAGGGCGATGGCAGCGGCTGCCGTGAGGGTGACGCGGTCCGTTTGGTTCTTGACGGCTTTGGCTAGCGACGAGGTTTTGTTGTAAGCGTCCCACTGATTAGAGCGAAGCGCGACGTGCTTCTGTGCGACAGATTTGGAGGCATTGAATAGCTTGGCGGCATCGACAAGCCGTCTACCTGCCATTTCGATCGGATGAAAGGGCTACCGGGAGGCGCGACACATGACGAGGGGTGCTGTAGCTCTGCGTAAGCTGTGGAGGCTCTCGTGAGGCCATCGAAAGTTATGCGCGTCATAGCCGGATGGGGTTAGGTCGGAGTGCGGAACTGGCGCGATTGGCTGGCCATCATAGCCGACAAGGGTCTTGATCGTCTAGTGGGGCAGCCAGCTGCATCTATACCCTCAACAGCGCGACATTTGATCTACTGTACTCGCCTGACCCTTCCTTGAAATCCTACCGTCCGTATCGGTCGCCGCATTCGGTCCCTTTTTACTTTTGGTAACCAATCAGACTTCGTAGCCATCTGTCACGACAAATCAACCAGTGCTTGGTGCCTGAGTAGCGTCAGTCGGTACTTCCCAGCCGCACGGGAAGATAGCAACTATTCGGCCTATCAGTCTCGACTGATTCAGGCACAAGATACAAGTCTTCTCTTAGGAGCCTTCCGAAAACCCCAGACAGCCTCACAATTTCACGCCGAAGTCCTGGACGTAACCGAAATCTGTTCATTCAAACAAACCCAAGAGAGTTGCAAACATGAAAGTCGCCTGTCTCCAATTCGCCGCAGAAGTCGGGCGCGTCCCAGAAAACATCCAAAGAGCAGAACGCATCCTCCAGTCCACCGCCATTCCTCATGACCTAGCCTGGCTCGTCCTCCCCGAACTCGCCTTCTCTGGGTACAACTTCCAATCGCTGGAGGAGATCCAACCCTTCCTCGAGCCTACCACATCCGGCATCTCAACCCAATGGGCGCAGAAAGTAGCAAAACACTACAACTGCCACGTCACAGTCGGTTACCCAGAAATCACTACCCCAGCCACCAATCCCGGGGACAGTCAAACGCAGTACAACTCCACCGTCACTGTATCGCCAGATGGAGAAATACTAAACAACTACCGGAAATCCTTCCTGTACTACACAGACGAGACATGGGCATCTGAAGGGCCCGGTTCGAGGTCGCATAAACTATCCAATCCCTCATCGCCAGATTCTCCCTTCTATGCTGGCCAACTTGGTACTCTGGGAAAGGTTACCATGGGGATATGTATGGATATAAATCCTTACAAGTTTGTCTCTCCATGGGCTGATTACGAGTTCTCTACCCTCGCTCTAACATCTCAATCCCCTATTGTTTGCATAAGCATGGCTTGGCTATGTCACCTTACGCCTACGGAACTTGTACAGGAGCCATCGCAGCCGGATATAGCGACGGTAGCGTACTGGGTCGAGCGCTTCCAACCGCTTGTTGAGGCCAAGGGGGATAAACCCGTCTATATCATCATGGCGAATCGGTGTGGAATGGAGAAGGGCGTCTGCTATGCAGGCAGCAGTACGGTGATAAAGATCGAGAAGGGTGTCGTCAGTCTGTACGAGACAGCGGGCAAGAGCGAGGAGACTTGTTTGATCGTGGATCTGACCCAGCGTCCCAAGTTCCAGGTGAGGAGTGGGAGGTGATGGGTCAGAGGACGTCAACATGAGGGCTTTACCTTATACGGGGAAACCTCTAAACACCCCAGAGCCTACAGATCTTCTGATCCGTTTGTTTCTATCATGGTGTAGTTTGCAGACCTGTTTGGGGGTTTCCTTGTCTGAGGTGGCTTGCTTTCTGAGGCATGTTCGCTAATGTGGCCATCCGTAGGCCGATCGGACGTACGACAGAGACCGCCTTGGGCTGATACTGGGACGATTACCGTTACCGTTGCAACGGCGATTGTTTTCGGCCGCTCCAAAGAAACCTTACGCGCAGAGGTGATCATCGTAGAACGGTTTCTCCAAGCAGTCACCTCAATCAATGAGAAGACTAAGAACCCTGGAGCCTACATGGACGCCAGATTTTCCAATTTGCCTGTGTTATCCTAGTGTAGTCTGTAGACCTGTCGGGTCTTTCCTTGTGTGAGGTGGTGTTATCGAAAGGCTAAGCAATGGGGCTAAATCAACATCGCGGGGGTCATCGCGAAATACAGTTAATTCAGTGTAGTCAATATCCTTCACAAGAGCGCCGTACACGTGTAGTCTTCTCAGGCCAGATGTGACAATGAGCCTGAAATGGAGTTTAGTGCCAACCCGCGTTGGGAGTGCGAGTGTTCAGTCCATAACAAAAGCGACGCTCGTCATACATGACGCATCTGGGATCATATTGCGCGCACAACATCACGATCATCAGCACACCAAAGTCATTCGTTGTGACCCAGCAAGTGTTTCCATTTAACACTGCTCAGATCTAAACCATCATGAATCGATTCCTTTCATTCCCATTTACAGACCCAAAGCGCCATGAATGAGAGGTAGGTAGGTATCCGGTAACGTGAAAAGAACACCACCCATAGCATCCCTCGTTTGCAGACGTGCTTCGCTTAGAAGACTGGTCGCTCGCTTCCCGCCATGTGCGAAATTCCCAATGTAGTCGCTCGTTTCGTGTGGGGTAGGTTGTCGGTGCAGTAACAAGGAGTAGTTGGGAATCGAGAATCGAGTGAGGGATGGTTCGTCGGGGGCGATACGCTTAGATACCGAGACGAGTCTTGCGCCAGTGTCGGCGCTTGGCGTTGTACCTGTGGGCGGAATGTCAGTCTCGTGCTCTCATCGTTATATTATCGTGTCCTTGTAATCTGTGGTGACGGAGATCGGAAGCGACGAGAGCGTACGGATCGTGGGTAGAGCGTACCTGATGGTGTTGCCGGTCCTCAGGCGAATCCACTGGGGGATGGGGCGGTTCTGCTTCTGCGCCTTTGCAAGCTTCTGCTTGGTGCGGAAGGACTTTTGGGACTGCGAAAGTGTCAGTAAGTGGCCCTGCAGTGCGTCGCAACCGCGGGCGGTGATATCATACCGGCATCTTGACTGCTTGTTGTGAGTAGTCGGATGTCGAAAGGTGTTGTCGATGTCGGAAAAAAGCCAGGAATATTGATCGATGTTGGTGCGCTTGGCGGGCGGCAAGCAGAAACGGCTAGTCTGTGTTGGGCGCGCTAGCGGGGCTTTAGCGTCATTGCCGTCTCAAACGCGCAGGTGCGCTGACCTGCAACATCGACATTTCGCTGCTCCAGATCTTTGAAGTGCGCAGAACGGCTGAAGCCTCAAGCGAAATGTGTAGTCTTGTATCAAGAACAGTTTCCTGCGCTGTGCTTCGCGGGGTGTGTCTGACTTCGTAGTTCGGCTCTGCGGCGTGACCGCGCTGAACTAACACGCATAGCCAACATTGCGCAAAATCGCAGAGCGCCATACCGGACTGTATCATGGCATCTGATGCATCCCTTGGCCTATTAGCCAAGTTCTGATTAGTTTGGACGGTTTAGCATCCAATTATGCGACTCTACTACAGTTGACCACGCCTTCCCCGCTTTTCAAATGACTTCTCAGGGAAAGGAATGATGCACTGAGACGGTTATCTTAAAGTCGGGATTGTATCTGCCATTATTACTGATTTTATCAATGCGAGAACTACCTCACAAGTCGACCTCAGCAATTGATATCTTGCAACCAGGCGTCCTATCACAATACTCGCTTCAAGGACACTTCATCAACTTGGTCGCATAATCACGTACCGCAGATATGGAATCGAAACATGTGCAAGGTACGAGAGCTCCTCATAGTCACAGTATACTTCCAGACAGTGTCGCTGAGTGAGAGTAGAAAAAGCAGCACTACAAAACACCCATGCAACAACAGCTGCCACCCTACTTAAACTTCCAAACCAAAACACCGCCTCGGAAACATCTTCTCGTCCTCCCCAAACAACAGCAACTCGTCGCCTCCGCGCGGTCAAAGCACACCTCGCCCCTCCCACTCGCTACACAGTCTACGCAAAAGACCCTAAGAACATAGCCCAAGTGGCCGCCACGCGAGCGTGGCTCGACACCATCGTGTACGACACTTTCGCGATACGAGAATTTTACAGCTGGTATTGGGGTGATGAGGGTATACCGAAAGAAGAGATCGAAAAGGCCGATGCTGAAGGTAGATTGGAGCAATGGCTTGATGAGGCTGAGGTTGTATCTATGTGGTCGGGGTGTATGCTCGACGAGGAAGGGGCGAGGTTGGTGGCGGAGAAGACAGAGTGGATCTCGGAGATTGATGGGACAAGGTATCACATCTCTGATATGTGCTGATGTGGAATGAGGTTTTCAAGAGGAGAACTTGTTGACGCAAATACTATGACAAGGTGGAAGATACATGCTTGTTTCAACATATCACTGAATTGTCCTGATGCATGTGGAAGACGAGCTATATTTTTCTGACATGGCCGGTGAGTTCCAGCACTCTAAATTTCCGAGAAGCCTAGATCAAGAATGCTCTGGCGCCATCGTCCGCGTATGGTGTCCTTGTAGCATCGAATAGTAAAGAGGACCAGGTGCTGGACTACTTCTTCAGGACCTCGGGATATAGCAAACGACGGATTCCAACTGTGACAGATGAGCATGAGCCACTGCCCGATGAAAGCTCGGTCGACTCGTGTCGCGCAGTGATTCATGAACCTTCTGGGGAAAACATTGAGGGTGCTGTTCTAGGAGCATTGCGGTGAATTCACTGACTAGCGTGGCGCTACGGAATAGGCAACTGCGCCCCGAGGTCGTCGCCATTTCCACACTCGCCCTCAGTTACCAGCATTGAATCTCACTTTCAAAATAGCGCATCTCGACCCCGGCGCACACAGTGGTGCTTGGTCGCAGTCTGTCGTCGTAATGGCTCCGAACTTCTTGTAAGCCAATCGACATGATATCTACAACAAGTTTAACATGTACGACAGAACCATGAATTTCGACACAGTCACCGTGCGCGTCGGCGAAGCAGACACAGCAGTCGATATCACCGTCTACCGCGATGTTTTGTCGGCTGTCTCACCTTACTTTCGTAGCGCTTTCGAGGGTCCCTTCGTGGAGGCTACAGATCGCTCCATATCCCTGACAGACGTCACCGAACAGACTTTCCGTATGTTTCTACAGTGGGCACATAGCCAAAAATGTCAGCTGTCAAACGGCGCTGCTTTCCCACAACATGGAATACTTGTCCAAAAATCGACAAGGAAGAATATGGAACAAACTACCACAGGCTCTGCAGAGCTGCAGCTTCCGCTTCGTACGAGCAGCAGTCCAAATGCTGAGACTATGCCGGACACTACAGCAGCAATCGACGAGCACGACGACTACGACGACCACAGATCAATGGTCACCAAAGCGCTAGGCCAGCTGTACCATGCGAATCCGGAATGGATCCACGGATACCGCCTGTCGTTGCTTTCTTTCTTGCGTCTTTACATCTTTGCCGACAAGTACAACGTCCCCCAGCTACGAGACGACATTTTGACTGCCATGATCGCACAGTCACATGCATGGAATTGGTGGCCCGATATTGAACGAGAACTGATGAAGTCTGCGTACGCAAATCTACCACCATCATCCAAGTTCATTCGCCTCTTGGTGCTGTCCACAGCCTACTGTTGGCTCTTGGAGCCTGAGACCTGTAGTGCTACTAGAATGCGTACGATGATGGAGATGAATGCAGAGTTTGCTTTCGAAGTCATCGTTGTACAGAACCAGATGCTCAAAAATAGTAGGTCGTCAGGGGGTCTGCCGCTTTGGTTGGAGGACGCTGTGCCCGATTCTTGCACCTTACATGAGCATCTGGTTCAAGACGCAGCACAATGTCGAAAGCGCATCCGCGATCAGTCGCACATCCTCACCGGGCTCATCGAGATGTGCGCGGCAGATGTCGTAGGAATTACGAAAGAGTCTGGCGAGGAATAGGCGGGGGAAGGCATCCATGGGGAACGCACTAAAGGATACGGAAGGATGACCAAGACATTCGTGTCAAGGGTTCAAAATTTGGCGCCGACCTTTGAAGATGATAGACAGCCAAGACAGGAGTTTGAGACCTGGAACGACGCTACTGTACCGGCGTGGGGATGAGTACATTACTTGAGACTGCCGGTCAGTGTGGGTCCCCGCCAAAAAATGGGCACAGAACGGCCAGAAGGCTCAACTTCATGAGGTCAGGTCCCAACGGGAGATTCCATATGACAAGCGAATGAAAGTAATGTTGCAGAGGGGCTCAATGTGACTGCGTGAAACATAAGACACGAAACTATAGTCGAAATCTTGCAGCGATGTCTCGGCTGTTCGACCCCAGATTGCTAGTGTGGCGCTATGGCCACAGCTAAAGTGGATGCAGGCGCAAGGATTCTGGGCCTCAGAAATGTCGATCCCGTCTCCGAACCAGGACCCTCTTGTTTCGGCGAACCTACTCGTCGCATTCGCGCACGCGTCGGCGGTACCACGGTTGGTCATGTCTCTTGGGCGTTGACACCGGCTGAAGTGCTTCACGGCATCTTCTTTTTAACTCTTCGCATCGCCGCGCTTTTCATCTCAAGTCTGTTTGGCTGGCGCGCGCATTTACCCGTCCAAGTCTTTTCCCGTAGTCCATCGCGGTGCGCCATAGCGATAGCGATAAGAGAACGACACCAGGTTGGCTCATTGTCTTTGTCGCGTCGACGCGCAGGAACTTGATTCGAAGGAATTGGCCCTCTAATCACGCCTCTCGAGCGACTGCATTCCAATCGCCGCCATGACAGACTATGGCTCCACACCACCGCCCAAGTCGCCCTCTCCGGTGACAGTCCCACGCTCATCGAGCCTCCCGCGCCTGGCCAGCTCCAAGCTCTTCCTCCCGCTGCAGAACGATGCGTCGGCGATATCTACGCGCGGCCACCACCTGCCCTCGCTACTCAACAGCGCACGTCGGCCGTCTACTATACGCAGCAGTGAGCGCCGGGGCAGCGACACAGACGATGAAGACCTGGAAGCATACAGGAACGGGCTCGTGATGCCTTACGACCGCGACTCTGATCGCAGGAGCAGCATAGGCGCGCATGTGCTCAACACGCCGCAGATGAGGAGCCAGCGGCTGATTGGCAACTCCAATCCCCGGTACAAGTGGGAGAAGTACTACAAGTCCGAGGAAGAGCTCAAGGGCATGAAGAAGCCGATCCGAGAATACTACGAGCGCAACAACCAGCTCCTGCAGCACTACCTATACATCGACCGTCTACTCGATTCCTCCCTCCCGCACAACCTCATCCAAGAGTACACGAACATGGAATCCGGCGCCGTCAAGATTCCCTCAACCATCAGGGAAGAGTCTTCGGCCTCGACTTCTCCCCTCGCTGTTACCCCCGCTGGGACAAATGGCACCAACACACCCGGATACTATAGTGAGAACGGGCGAAGTGGTTCATCGGGCAGTCTCAACGGCAATGGCGCTCAAAAACCCATGGTCAAGCGCACACCGAAGAACCTCTACAAAGTCCCTGAGGCAGACGAAAACACGCCTCTTCTCGCACACGACGAGGCCGTAGAAGACGAAGAAGACCTAGAGGTCGCAAACTCCAAGCTGAAGGACTGGGTCCCAGAAGAAGACGAAGACACCGAGAGCCCCATTGTCAAGCTCGCACTATACGTCAACCTCAGCGCAAACACAGCCCTCCTCATCATGAAGATTGTCGTCACAGTCCTCACCTCGTCCCTCTCCGTAGTCGCCAGTTTGGTCGACGCAGCCCTCGACTTCCTCTCCACGGCCATCGTGTGGTTCACATCCTGGATGATCGCGCGTCAAGACCGCTACGCCTACCCAGTCGGCCGCCGCCGTCTCGAACCCATCGGCGTACTCATCTTCTCCGTCATCATGATGACATCCTTCTTCCAAGTCGGCATCGAGGGCATTTCCCGGCTCACTGGACCCGACCGCACAATCGTGCAATTGACCATTCCCGCTGTGGCCATCATGGCCGCTACAGTCGTCATCAAAGGCCTCTGCTGGCTATGGTGCCGTCTCATCCGCAACTCGTCCGTCCAGGCACTGGCCCAAGACGCCATGACTGATGTCGTGTTCAACACCTTCTCTATCCTCTTTCCGCTCGTGGGTTACTTCGCGAAGATCTGGTGGCTCGACTCGCTGGGCGGTATCTTGCTCTCCGCTTATGTTATCATCAACTGGAGTGCTACCTCCGCTGAGCACATTCGCAACCTGACTGGTGCGAGTGCCACGGCAGATGAGCGCAATATCCTTCTCTACATGACGATGCGCTTTGCAAAGTCTATTAAGAGGATTCAGGGTCTGCAAGCTTACCACGCGGGTGATAAGCTGAATGTCGAGGTCGATATTGTGGTTGATGAGAATCTCAGTTTGAGGGATAGCCATGACTTGGGTGAGAGTCTGCAGTATGTGCTTGGTAAGTCATCCTTCTATATACATTTACATAGTTGTAAACTAACAGCCACACAGAAAGTGTGCCATACGTTGATCGCGCGTTTGTACATATCGATTATACGGATTACAACTTCCCGACACACATGTCGCAGCAGGAGTGAGCGGAAGATGCGCATGGCATCTGAGTTGGCTGTACATATCGGATCGGAGACAAAAGCATTTGGAAATGGAAGACCTGCGTTGAGCAATAGAAGCATGGTGAATGATACAAAGCATGTGCTTGCGAACTCGCCTCCCGTAAAGACTGCCCATCATCGCCTCTTCTTAGGTTCACAAGATTGCCATTAATTTATGGAACTGGGGATATCCGCAACAAAGCACGTCGAAACGAAAACGAGCGTGAAAGAGAGACATCAGTCCAAGCGGACGGACGTCAGTCCTAGGAGAGACGGTAGGAAAGACATAGCCCAGAAGTCTACATGTAGCCAAAAAGAATAAAACGACAGAAAGAGGTACCCATGTCATTGCCACGACCACACATGCACTCACCACGTGCAACCAACCAGTCGTCTCCTTTTCCTCTTACGACCTGATTCCTTAGTCAGACTGTTCTCACACAGCTCATCCGACAGGGGATCTATAATACCACGTCAGCAAAAGATCAAAGCGCATAGTCACCACTTCCCACTCCAGACTCTCAGACTTACCATGGTTTTCCAGATCACCGGCGCAACTAATTTGCTGCTCGCCCTTGAACAGCGCTCCCGGACTCTGCCCATCATTCCTATAGACATATTCCCCGCCGAAGAGATTCAGCGTCCACTCTCCCGCCGGCCACGTCGGATGCTCGAATAGATTCTCATCAGTCGTCGCGCCTTGGTCGTCTTGGTGGAAGTCGTTGAGCAGAGAGGTGCACAGGCTGTCGGGTTCTTGGTTATTGTCGTCGCGGCGGTAGAAGAAGTATCGGTTCTGGTATTTGAATTTGCAGCTCTCATGTGGGGGGAAGTCGGGGTTAGAGATGACGCTGGAGCATTCTGGGGTCGTGGTTTGTTCGAGGCCGACGGTGAAGGTGCGCTTTGGTGCTTGAGGGGGTGGGCTGGGCGACTGGTTGTTGGAGACGCTGTCGTGGGCTGCTTTGTCGGCGCCGTTCCAGATCTGTTTGAGTCAGCTTCCTTACTAACTTCGGATTGTGTTGTCGTCGTTCTTACCATGTTGACTTGCTTGTCGGGATCTTTGGCACGCTCCCAGCTCGACTCAGGCGTGGTTATCCATCTCTTGATTTCTTTCACTCGGTCGAGTCCTTGCTTGCTCTGGTCCCAGGATTCGTAGTTCATGTGTGTAGCAATAATGCCTGCCACTGCCGGTGCAGCGAACGACGTACCCGAATCCTGCGTTGCTGCACCGTCATATTGATCGTGGACGTCGACATCCACTCCAACACCGTAGATGGTCAGCTGTGTGCGCTTCTCTGGATCTTGCTGAGTACCCAGGCCTTGCGAGAAAGGTGCAGCTTTGCCTGCAAGCGTGGCAGCCCCGACGTTGATAATGGGAAAGTCATCTGTCTCCAAGACCTGGGGGAATTGGTCGATGACTTTTCGGCCTTCAGTTTCGGCTTCATTACCAGAAGCGAGCACCACGGGGACCCCGTAACTGAATAATTGCTTTATCCAGAGTATCTGTCGCTTTGCTCTGTAATCGTTCTCTGCTTCTTCTCGTGTGTAGCCCTTGTGACCATTGTCTGCGACACCGCGTTCCGTGCCGCTGCTCATAACGACAACCTGAAAGTCACGCGACGTTAGTATACCCAATAAGCTTAGTCCAGAACAGTAAACATGCGTCGATGGCGTCGGTTGTTGGTCGTACTTACAGCTTGGAACCCTGGTATTTTCCTGCGCCGCCTGCTTACATCTGCAAAAATCCTTTCGAACCCGTTGTCAATATCGTCTCCGCCCGGTTTGACCTGCACCGGCACCAGTGTCGCTCCCTTTGCGGTTCCCCACTGCCCAACGATTTTGGACGCTACTTTCGTTCCGTGGCCTTTGGGGGAATGGTCGTATCGAATGTTGTGCGCAGCATTTTGGTTGGTGAAAGCTCTTGTTTCTACGATACCGCTATTGTCCTGCTCGTTGTCGAAACCTGGAAACACTTTTTCGCCGTTTTCCTGGAGTCGGGTTAGAGCGATGTCACCAACGTATGTGAGGTAAGTCATTACCTTTTTGACATCTACCTGTACTCCATCATCCAAAACATACACATGTACTCCCTCTCCAGCTCTCTTCTCGTAAACGTAGTCCTTGCTGTTTGTAACAGATTAGTTCCGGCCTTTTTAGGGCTTCAAGTACCGTAGTGGGTTCTTACAATTCGTCCAAATTGCTTCCCCTTGGGTTGACATGTTAGCCCAGTCAAGATACAGCATTCAGACCTTTACTTACTCGTAACAGCTGGCTTGGACCAAGTCCCGCGCTGCACCCTCCTGCTTCTGCCAATCTCCCCATTCGAATTTCCGAGCTTCCAGAGTTCCCGTGGTCTTGATACTCATTCTGGGGACAGCAATCATCTTCACTTCGTGGTATTGACTCGGATCCTCGACATGCTCCACCCATTCCTTCTTGGCCACCACCTCATCGTACCCTGACTGGTCTAGTATAACGCCTCCCCACGCGTGAACTACTTCGTAATTGTCAAGCTCAGCGTCGAGCCTGCCCTCGTCGTACAATCTGTCGAGTTCGTCTTCTGGTATGTCTTCGGGCTCATCCCAGGGAAACCTCTTCTCCTCGCGCATCTTAGACTTGTCCTTGGTCAAACCTTCAAGCCAAACCCGAGTTTCGTTGACTTGGGCCTCGTTCCTGATGTCGGCTGCGTAGACGGTATATGTCTTTGTCGGGAGTGCACGTGCGTTCATGTCCGAAGTGTGTAGGTTAGCTCTAATTGCCTCTATCCTACAGAGGTATGAAGTTAGCATATATCTTCATGCACTTTGTATAGCCATAACTTACCATTCCGTTTTGGCTGCGACCTTCTCGTATCCAGCCTGGTCCAAAATCACACCTGACCATGCGCGGACCACTTCGAGATTATCGAGCTCCTCGTCAAGCCTACCTTCGTCGTACAGCTTGTCAAACTACAGAGGGAAAAGATAAGAAGTCAGTAAATCTCCCATGCCTTTCGTACATCCATGGCTTACCTCATCTGCAGGAAGGTCTTCGACAGTGTCCCAGTTCCATCCTAGCTCATCACGCATCTTGTCTTTGTCTTTGACAAGGCCCTTGAGCCAAGTGCGCGTTTCGTTGACCTGGGCTTCATTGTGGACATCGCTTGCCCAGACTGTGTAGATTCGGATTTCAGACGAAACATCCTGCTGCACTTCAACGGTGGTAGATCCGAGCGCCACGTCTCTAGGCTCGAAGGTGGCAGTGTGTTGATCGACTGGCGGGCTTACATCCTTCTGTGGTGCTCCTTCGCTGTTGACTTGCTCCAGGGATTCTGCGGCGTTGAGGTTAGCAGACAACATCGACGACGCCAGCCGAACGAAGAGAAGCACTGCTAAGTTGAGTCTCATGGCTGTAATAAGGAGTTTGGAAAGCGATACAAGATGACTGTGAATCAGCTAAGAAATAGGATGAAGAACGAGACAGCCTTGAAGATGTTGGGATCCAAATTGGCTTCTGAATGCATCCTCTTATACCCAACGTCTTTCTCAACACGTATACTCATCCGCGCGTGTCTTCAGAGGCACTCAAAATGAGACCGCCCCCTCTTTGGCACAGAAACAAGACTGCGTAATCTGACCCGCGTCAAGGAATAACCTCGACTCGAACCCGAAGGCACAGTCACCCAAGGTGATGGAGGCGTAGCATGCCGGGGCGGTTTTGTCCTGGATACAGGAACGACATAATCCGATCCAAGTAAGGTGCAGACTCAAGTCAATCCCAAAGGCGCAGTCACCCAAACTGATGGCGGCGTAGCCCGGTGGGATGGAGTCGTTCTGAGCGCATGCGTAATAGGGTCCAAGTAAAGCGCAGACTGGGCTCAACACCAGCGGCAGAGTGACCCAAGCTGACAGCGGCGTAGCACCTCTCGGTGCGCAACCACAATCCAGCCCCCCACCGCGACGAAGATTGTAGCAGACAAATGCACCTCCGGAAAACGACAAAAGAAAGACGTACCATTCCGTTTCTTCTCCATCTTCACGTCCAATGATAATGCCAATCGATATGTAAGCGCCACTCACTCCGATGCGTACTCTGCAGAAATCGACGATCTCGTTGTCGAAGAGGAAGACGGAAGATCCAGGTTGTGGAATGGGGCGGTTGCAGGAAGCAGGAAGAAACACCATTTCGAAACGCTATTGGAAGTGAGTGCCCAGGTGGCACGGCATGCATCATGTGATATTCAGATTAGCAGTCGCGTTCGCGAACCGACGTCATCTGACAGCGGGGCACAGTCCTGGAAGGCAGCAGCGACCCCGACGTTCGGTTGACTGCAAGTTTAGATTTCCACGCAAGAGAGGATGCGCATTTGACTCAGAATTGGACCTGATCTGGTTCGGAATGGTTGTTGGGGTTGTACCTCGGTATGCGGGATGATTGCGATTGACTTGGTAGACCGTCTGTTGACCATCACCATTTGAAACAAGTTTGAAGACTCAGCTATCGCATCTGAGGATTCCAACGCCACCCAATGCCATATATTACAAACCTACACTCCACCACAGCCACCTACCCATCACAACCCCTCAACACTAATCCCCTGCGCCACACCCCTATACTTCTCCTTCCTCGCCTCAATCTCCTCCTTCATCCTCGCCTGTCTCTCTTCCTTACCCACGCCCCTCACATACTGCAACAACCTCAACGCGCCCGTCGGCGTAACACCTTCCACTCGTCTCGCCATACCCACGCTCTCCGGCCGCGCTACCTCCAACGCTCTCTTCTCCTCGAAGCTAAGCCCAAAGATGGATTCGTAGTCAAGATCAACTGGTAACTTGAGGTTCTCGTCTTTGAGCCATCGGGCTTGTGTGGCGGTTTGGGAAGCGACGTAGGGGGCGTAGGTGGCTTCGATGTGAACGCGGTCTTGGATGCGTTGTGAGAAGCCTTTTATTTCGGGGAGGAGTGTGGTGAGGCTGGATGGGGTGGTGTTGGGCAGGCGGAGGAGGTCGTAT